CACCTTAATAGTTTTGATAGTACAAACTTCGTTTTTTTTATTAGAAAACTCTTCTTTCAACGCTTTTATTGGGGGCAATGCGACTAATTCTGTGATTTTCTTTATTTAGGGTTGACGTTTATTCAAACTTAAAAATAATTTTATGCCAATATTACAGTTTTTTCTCCTATTTTAGTTAAAATAATTAAAATTATCATTAAATGATGCAACATTTTTTACACTAATCATGCAATTTGTAACTCCCTGTTAGAAAAAGTTATTAAATAATTTTTAGTGAAGAAATGATAAAACAAACTTTCGAGCATAACTCTATATAATCTATTTTAATAAATATTTCCCCTAAGGATAGTTGAATATAACTTTAATTAGATGTTTGGAGAAAAAAATGTAATAATGACAAACATTTAAATTTACGTTTGAATAACCGTTAAATTAGAAGGTTTATCAAAAAATGATCGGAGACGTTCTATGTAGGGCGTGTAATTTCCTACAAAAATATGTATCACACTTTTCAATACGATAATTCAAAGACGAGAAAATAATTCCTAATTTGAAAATACGTTTTTTAAACTAATTTACTGAAGAGGTGGTTAAAAAAAATTATCGGCTTTTTTGAATCAGTCTAATGAACATACACATGAACACATGTTGTTCATGCCCTGTTTGCAGAGGATATTTTACTTAAGCCCGATAATAAATAATCATTTCGTTATTGATGTATGTATGTATAGGAAAATGGTTAAATAGATACCCTGTAGAGAAAAAGACATTAGTAAAGCAGTTTTTGTGATTATTTACTCCGTTTTATGTTTACAAAATGAGATTTTCCTCACAGGGTGCATATTTACTTACTTACGAGAAACTGTGTGAACTGTTTACAAACATAATTATCTTCTTGTGTACAAAAGCAAACCCTACAACCAACGAACGATTGTGATAAATTGCTGGCAAAGCGAAAAGGAAGTATGCACCAGAATGAAGAAACTCACTTGCGTTTGTTATTGGAATATATATTGAAATGTGTGCTCATGAGACTATCTATATATTTATGAAGCTTTTGAAAAACAAATGGAAGCCAAGTCCATAAATTTATGTATGCAACACAATGGAAGAACGAACAGGAATGCCGATAATTTTAGGCTGTTAAAGACTTGTAATTCCTTAATTTATTGAATTTTGGGCATGTTGTCGATTACTTATTACAATTGGCTGCGGATATTTATGACTGATGAATGGTCCTGACAAATCGCTAAGTACGAGTGTCCTTTATGTTATGCTTTTACCGACATATGCACATACATATGTATGTATAGTTCAAGAGCAGGTTAACAATTGCAAATAAAAAAATAAATGTAGGTTTAACGGGTTAAGAAATTAAGCGAATTTTTTTAAGCGCTATGCACCAAATAAAATTTGTTTAGTTTAAGTAAGAAATCGATTTGTATATTTGAAATTTTGACGCATAAATACTGCATATGCACTACGAAGCCTCAGAGATTTATCTTCAACGGCTTAACTGTAAAATTGTTTTCCTTAACAGGAGTGATGCATAAATTATGCTGTGCTAAGTCAACTGTGTTTTTACACGTGAATTAATACCACTCATATGTATAGAAATAGCGTGATCATACAAGTGTGTATGTATGTATAACAGTGAGGTCCAAAAATGCATGTGAAAAAGTAAATTCGGAATTGTAATGCTCTCACTCCCTAGGTTGGTTCTATACCGAAATAAAAATATACCCTTATTTTTTATTTTGAAATCAAAAAATATTTAGAGGTCACTAAAAGCGCCCAAAGTTTTCCATGTGGTCCAGTTGGACCTCCAGCGGTCCACGGGAGACTCGACAGAAGTTTACGTTGGCGTGAATAAAAATGGGGTTTCACGAGTCTTACCTACCAATGTACGCAGATAATACAATATTAAAAAAAAAAAAAATTTTCGGTGATTTTTGACAGTCTGCATTTCGGTCGTATTGAGAATTTAAAAAATTAAGCTTTGGGTAACATTCTTGTTTTCAGATATCTTTTGTAAAAATTTCTGGAAGCTACGATTCTCATGTAATACTGAAAGACAGCGCGATATATTAGTTTTGCTATTTTCTGGTTTGGTTCACGGGCTTAAACAAAATTTTTCAGTTATGCCGGCATACGGATCAGACATTCTCTCTATTTAGTTTTAATTTGCATTTTCTAAAATCTCCTATAATTTTTTTTAGTAGTGTGTTTTAAGACAGATATCGTAAAAATTCCTCACTGAGGAATAAAGCTTCCATCTTCCTCCTCACCACAATCAATTCAAGTGCAATCAATTTCGATTTCCTTGTGAGTTAAAAAAAGCAGAGCGCTTAATTTATGTTTAATATAGCTCGAGTTTTTCGCCGCTATATTTACCTCAAGCTCCAATGCCACTCAAAATATTACTCCTCATAAAATAGCGTTCTGCCTCTTTTTCGTATCTAGCTCTCATCACTCATCAGTTGTAATCGTTGATCAACTCATCACTAATTGAGCAATAATTTCATTTAAGCTCTAAATTTGATGATCCACTTGCTCCGCTCTTTTCTCTATTGTCCGTTTCTGAATGAAAAGTTAGGCGAAGAAAAGCTTTGCGGTCAGTTCCAGCAGTTTGGTTGGCCATTCCAGTTTACAAATTGGGCAAATTTACAAACTTCTAAATGGAAGTGCTGATTAGCTACTGTACGATTTAATGGGTTTAGATTATTTTATCTGGGATTATTTTATAGTTGTTAGAGCATACTAGCGCAGCGAATCAGCTAGGTCCATTTTGCGAACCTTTAAGGAATCACTCCAGGCAGTTTATAAAGTTAAGAACTTTGCAAGGTGCCATGTTCAGGTTTCTGAATGGAGACATAAATGGCTCTCCAAGGTATATGTGACTATGGCTACTGAGGTTAAGGTGGCAGCACACTGGTTTTATAAAAGTAGTGCCTTAGCGTACTATGTCTTGTCAGGTATCCAATTATAGTTTTTAGACCCCACCATCTAAGATTAAGCGTCCACTCGGAGACTTCATGAGAGGAAGTTTCAAATCCCTTAGGTTGCTAACTGAGAATCCTCCCTTCTCCTTGAGAGCTCTGCCGGTTTTAATTTGGATGAACCGTAAAAGACTTAAGGCCATAGAGGCTGCATTGGTCTATGAATTTTGCGAGAGTATCATCACTTTCGTTACCATCAAAGCTCTCATCACCAGGCAGCCACGACATGATAAGTTTGCTACGGGCTCCTAATTTGTCTATTTGTCTTGTACACTTTTTCAACTATTTACTGGCTGTACAAACAGATGTTTATAGTCATTTTTATTTTGTTTACATAAATTTTAGGGTCTACACTTCCAAAGCAAAAACCCTTTTTATACAGGTGGAAAATCAAGGAGCTTCTCGAAAAATTGGTTTTTGTGAAGAATAGCCTCACGACGTCCATTTCATTAGATCATTGATTGCAAACACTGATAGTCGATATAAGTTTCCCAATGGCAGATGAAAAATAGAAATCTGTTGAGAAGGAATTTTTTTTTTCAAAATAAAAAATTTGGACGAAAATTCTTTTGTAGTCACACGATTGGTGCAATACAGTGAGCTTCCATCGAATTTGTACATATTGTTTGTTGTAATTGGGATGAAAGAAAATATGTGTACATTCACATGATTGGGACACGATTTTCACCAAATTTTGGGTAAATTTCCAATCGTGTGACACTACCTTAAGGGAAGAAATTGCATAGGACTCGGAAGAGTGCTTTGTTCAGCCGTTTTAAATCCGTTTAAAAATATATTGAAATTAAATTTAGTTTTGTGCAAACATCAGCATTTTGAGAGTGTGGAAGGCCATCTTGGATTTTGGTTTCCAAAAAATAATATTAATTGAGATTCAAATAAATAGTTTCGATACACTTCTGCGAGGAGAGTTTGTTTTGTTCGAATTTATGACCACTTATATCCTGATATTTGTAAAAACTCCAAGAAACATATAAATTATCACACTTTCAAAGGGGCAAACAATATTTTGGAAAACATTTCAGCGTTTGAGCTAAACAAAAATTAAAGGACCTGATGCGATTGGTGTGTACGTGTTTTTTTTTTTTTTTTGGAAGAGAGATAAATATATTGTCACCACGAACACATTTTCAAGGGAAGGAAAACTTACTAAATCTCAACTAAAAACGATCAAATTTACTGCGATTTGCTTTAATTTAAGTTCTTTCCTTAAATAATAAAACTCACAATTCCACCCACATGCAGGGAAATTTTCAATGTATTCCCAGACATTCGTTGTGTTTACCCATTTCATAATTCTTTAAGTAACCCATATTTAACGAATCAGAAAACAAAAATGTTTTTCTAGACAGTATTTGTATGTATGAATGTACATATATATGTATATGCGGTTGATGTGCTTTTTGCTGACTTCGCCGAATCCCAACTGTGATTGTTCTGGCGGAATATATAGAAAATACATACATACATACATATATACCAATACTTTCATAACAATCGAAGGCAACAACATTGCTCTGACAATAAGATGGACCTTTGCTGGCACACACTTACAAATATGATGACGGTTTATTGGGCAATGATAACAACAAGCCGACAATAAAAATCAATTGGTAATTGGCAAACAAAGCACGTCGGCTCGAATTGCCTACCAACAGCTAAGTAAGCCAAATAATTTTTTTCGGGTTAATTTGCTAAAATCAAGGATAATGGATTGTTGAAAAACGTGAGTGTTGACAAAATGAGGTGGTTAAGCTGTGTATTTGCTAAGTAACAAGTAATTGGAAATGGGTAGCATTTACTTTTAATTTGTTGCCATGGTTACACATATCGTACGTTTAATAATAGATATAGAAAAGTTATTCCACATTTACGTGCGATATTTATTAAAATTTTTGTGTGGTTCTAAATACTTAAAATTTGTTAGAATATCAAGCGAATTTTTCAAAATTTTCAACTCTACCTCCATACTTCTCATTGCAGCATTCGAGGGTACGACAAGACATCCGCCACATCATCACCATACACCGCCGACGCTGGCGCCGCCACCATTACATACACTCACACCCAGTGGGCATCAGCTGTCTCAGCAGTTTTTGGAATCCATGTCACTAGCAGCACAGCTGCCATCCACTACATCACTCTCGTCGTTGTCATCGTCTTCATCCGCATCGCTGGCATCTCTTTCACAGCTCGAGCTCTCTAATGCCATCGTGGACAGTTTCGAAGGCGTCGGCAGCAGCGTTGAGCCGCAATTTGAAAACACCACCGAACGCGAAGTGATTGCGGCCGTCGGCACCACAGCCCGCATGCACTGCCGTGTGCGAAATCTTGGTGATCGCGCCGTTTCGTGGATACGCAAGCGAGACCTGCACATTCTCACCATTGGCATCATGACGTATACGAATGATCAGCGCTTCCTGGCGCGACACATCGACAACTCGGACGAGTGGGTGCTGAAGGTGGTGTCGGTGCAGCCGCGCGACGCTGGCATCTACGAGTGCCAAGTGTCAACAGAGCCGAAAATCAGTCAGGCGTACAAGCTGATGGTTGTGAGTGAGTATCGCCAATGAATTATGTATGGGAGTACTTGTTGTGAAGAACTCCGTACTCTTGAGGCCCTAAAATGTAGAGAAATAATATCGACTATACTTGTTTTCGAAATTTCTGAGTTCAAAAAATCAAGTTTTATGTACATTCCTTGTGACTAGCCTCACAGAAAATCGATTTCTATTCCAATTTGACTGTACTCATATAGTTTTGAGAGAATAGTTTTAATTATTTACTTAAAAACTCAATGCCACATATGTATGCCCATGACAGGTCTTTTACGTAGGAAGTTTTGGATGAGCCGAATGAGACTGACACCAACCCCAAGCTTATCCAACAACTTAACCATTGCCTCCGGCGGGACATTATTAAACGGCCCCCTTGAATTCGAGGAAGGCTCCTAAGGAAAAATATTTGTGAGTGAAGGCTTCTACTATCCACCTCACAATTGTGTATAGGTCAGTTTGTTCGAATATTCCTTTACAATAACCATACTGAGCTCTTGGTAGGCGTTCTCGAGGAATCACGCAGGGTTTGAACGAATTCATCGCCCAAGTTAGGCGACAGTCATCCAGAAGGTCAGAAAAAACATTGCAGTCTTCGCGCACTTTCCTTAAGCAAATTTCCTCTGAGGAAGAATTGAAAGGAAAGTGAGTATCAAGGAGTAAGCCCAGTGACAGCCCGCTACTCAAAGTGCAGTGCCCTGCCTCATTCCTCAAGTAACCCAGCAGAGCGAGATGCCTTGCGAGAATTCGCTTAAATCTAGAGGATTAATGATAGCCTTGTACATCTTCGCAGAATGTCTTCCACGAAACTCTTTTCGCCTTTCTGATCTCGGACTTGTAGATTCCTGGCCCAATCTTATAAACTTTCCAAGCAATTGTAACTCGGAAAGCTCCCCCGTCCACCAAAGGGGTTTCGCTTTTTCAAGAGCCTCTCTGCCGACTGCACCGAGTTTACTGTTGACGCATCAGGGAGCGCTTGGCGTAGTACAAATCCCAGTTCGTACTCCTCAGATTCCTGAGGGATTTGCTTAGAGGACGCGTTTCGTTTAAAAAGAATTGGATGCTCCTGTGCACAGCTGTGATCCGAAAAGGAGTGTTACTAGAGGAATTTCCCCTTTTAGAAATAAGTAAGCGTTCAGTTAAGATAAGCTCAAAAGTGACTCAGTGAGTTTTGTCCAGCCATTGCTGAGCGAAGTATTCACCCAGTTTCTGATGGCGGCTTCGATGGCTGCAGGTGGGAGTGTTATAACTGGTTGCGGACCAAGGAATCCCTGGTCTGAGCCAGTACCAGGTAGTCCCGAGTGACCTGGCTCCCAGAGTAAAGCAAGCTGGTTATGTTTGCCAACATAATTTAGTCGAGACTTGCACTGCCGAACTAATTTGGAAGTAATTAGATGGCTGGCTAATGCTTTAAGTGCAGCTTGGCTGTCACTGAAGACACCTAAAGACCTTCCCCTCCACCTTTTCCTACATTCTCTTCAACAAAGTAATGGTGGCGTACTACCCTGTGGCATTGAAAAGACACAAGTTCACAGATCTCTGCCCACACTCAGTGTGAAAACAAAAAGTGACGGTAAGTGCAACAGTGTGTTATTATATTGTGTAATGCATCATAAATCCGTCTTAGCTTAGCTTGCTTAGCAAACATCATAGATTAAAATTTTTCAATTCGTATGAAAATTTTACGATCTTAGACAAATTTTAAACATAGTTTCGTGAATTGTTCGCTCAGAGCACCCACTTGTTCTAAGTCACTTATCACAGCGTTATTACTAGAGAAGCAACAATGAACACAGAATTAACATTTCGGAGTAACGAACTAATGAAATGTAATGAATATTAAATTATTTGAGTATACTTAGCATAAGTAAGTGCCCAGCATTCAACAAGCTTCGGTGAGTTAATTAATAGGAAGGCATATGCAATGCTTAAGGGCGTCTGCGAAGCACTTATTGTGTGAGTGTTAGAGACACACCTAAATTCCCTTCCACTAAGTATTTGGCTAAAAGCGATAATTCAGCAGAACGGCACTAATTTATCGGGAACGAAGATAAATCCCTCTCAATTAGTGCTCACTTACCGCCTATCATGTGATTAACCACACAAAAGGTTATTCACTTCTTCTTATTCGTTTTTACACCATTACAATTCCCTAACTCACGCCATTTTGTTCTCTCTATTTAATTTTTTTTTTGCATTTTTCGCAATTAACGCTGATTACGGCAATAAAATGCAATGCCAATGTAAACGCCTCTGCAATGTTACCGTTATTGGTAAATGCGTACAACATCTATACTCCAACAATAAAAATAAAAACAAACGCAAATAATCATAAAACCAACGAATCGCCTACACTCGCTACTTCACCGTCACGCACTTATACCAAACATATAAACTGGCTGAATGGTCTGCGCGATGGATGCTCCATTTGTGCCACCTGGCTGGCTGGCTGGCTGGCTGGTTTGCTGATGATGCCGATGGTGTTGTGCACACACACACACACACGCGCCCATATGCAGCATCGAAGGCGCAAATCCTCTCGAATCGCGAACTCTTCATACAAAGTGGCAGCGACATTAATTTGACGTGCATCGCACCGCAAGCGCCCGGGCCCTACACGCACATGATGTGGTACAAGGACAGCGAATTAATTAACGATTCAACGCGCGGCGGTATACGCGTCGTATCGGAGCAGCAAATGAAGACGAGCAATTTGGTGATATCGCGCGTGCTGCACCGGGACTCGGGGAATTACACATGCGCGGCAGATAATTCAAGTAAGTAACGTACCCCACCCCCACACTCCCTTACCTCCTTACCCATTAATCAAACATAAATCACCTGGCGCTTGACGGTATTCCACTTTTGTGTTACCAGTTTTGCCCGCAATCACTGCGTGGAGGTTGTCAAAATAGTCTGGCGTTATTTGCGTGTAATTTACAAGCTCGTATGCATGTAAGCATGTTTGCATGTGAATTGAACGCTGTAACGCATGAGCTATAATCACCTTGTGAATTTGCGAGTGAGCTTACACTCTATCCGCTATCTAAATGACCACACTGTCGCTGGCAAGCAGCTTTGCCTTTGCTTGTTACAGCAGCAGCAGTGACAGCGGAAATGTGGCAATGGCGCCAGCAGTTGATAAGCCAGTGGGTGCAGCTGCCACAAAAGTGGGGAATATCGCCAAAGCGTTAAGTCTTTAGACTACTATTTTGATTCCATAATTTTCGCAGAAGTAGATATGTACTACTTTTTCAATTAGCCACATATGTCTGTGAATGACGCCACTCCCACGCTGATTTGTTTGATTTTCGCTTGCAGATTCCGACAGCGTGTTTGTGCATATCATCAAGAGTGAGCAGCATGCGGCCATGCAACACGAACTGGCCACACGGATGCAGACGCCGCGGCTACTG